TATGACACAACACACGTTCAATACAATCTCGGCGCATCACCACCCTTTTTATTTTCGTTTTGTTTCGACGAGTTCTTGCTTTCGGGTTGAGCTGCAACGGTTACGATCTTCAAGAAGAGGTAAAACTTGTTATGGCGGCTTGCGTTCTCGAGATTAGTGCTTCCATCTTCATGACACTCTAATCTTGTTTATGTAATTCGTCGAGTTATCATATATCTTACATAATCTCTGGCAATATCGCTATCTAACCTACAATCGGCTAACATCTGTCAGTAGAAGGCAGCCGATTAGGTTAAATATCGATATTGACTTAGATTATATAAGATATCCATCACTCTATGACACATCCAACGGCTTGATTGTCTAGATGTTGTCCTTCTTTTCATACTTATAGCTGCATCAGTTGAGTTTGATCTTATGAGTCGTGATTAGAATCTCAAATCTCTAGCCTGTCTTTGGTTGCCGATTAGGGTAGTATCGGAGTTTCAGCTGATCTTACCTAACTTAACTATATTCATCTTATATGCTTTACTGATATGTTAAATCTGCCCTTTATGTTAAGATCTTGTTGCGTTAAAAGTATATTAGGCTTTCTGTTTGATATATTCTACTTGCATTAATATCTTAATATAGAGTGGTATCGGAGTATTAGCCGATACATGCTAGATCTATCTGATCGGCTATGCTATGTACATATATAGTCTCATTATTAATATATATTTCGATTTAAGTGATTTATACTATCTCGGCATAGCGACCGATCTATCCCAATCACAAGGATTGCGTATTGTTAATATCTACAGCCGATCGAGTAGATTTAGTATATCCGACATAAGGATTGTGTATTGTTAATATCTACAGCCGATCGAGTAGATTTAATTCTGTCTTACTTATTAATGACTGCCGATCGATGCATATATGACATCGGCTCAAAGATAAATGATATGTCATCGGCATTTAGCCGATCGGCGTTTATGGATTTAATCGCGGTTTCTTTGTCTTTGTTTCTTATTGATTGCAGGATCAAATTAATTGGCACGCTCACACACCCAAAGGCAAGTTTTGGACCTGCACTAGAGTTAAGCAGATCTCCCAGGCCTCGTGTTTTTACATCAACAAAACCCAAATTCATCCCTACAGCCCCACATCCATACAGCACATTCGCATTCATATTTCACATTCACATCCACATTCTACATTCCACATTCCACATCCACATCACATTTCACATTCACATTTCACAATTCACATTCACATTCACATTCACATTCATCACAACAAATAAAAACCTACAAGCCATTCATCACAACATATAAAAACCTACAAGCCTAAGTCAAAATTCGTAAATCCAAACTCAAAATATATATCCTAAACATTTGCATATAAATCCTAAACATTTGCATATATATCCTAACTCAAAATATGCGTAGTTTAAAATTCCTAAGTCAAAAGATTGTAAGTCTAAATTTTTAGGTCGAAAAATTCCTATGTCTAGATTATGAACATTAATATGAAAAATTCCTAAGTCTGCAATATTTAAGAATTCATAAGTGCAAAAATATAAATGCGATTGTATTTTACCTCCAACATGGGGTGAGCCTATGATTTTAAGAGTTTCTCATCCTCAAGTCATCGAGCATGTAATAGAAAACATAGAATAGAATCCATAATAATAGCAAATATTCAAATGCATTACACATAAAGTACACTTCCATAGTTCATGCATAAACACTAATTAAATACATTTTTTTCACATAAATCTAGCTAGTAGGTTTTTTTTTCCTAGGAGCTAATTTCTTCGCGGCTTGGTGCCGAGGGGGAGGGGCAGAAGATTGCACTCGTTGTGGGGCCTTGTTGATGTTGTATTCGCCACGACATGATGACGGATGAACCCGCAAAACTCGTCAGTGAGAGCTTTGAAGACGTGTGGTAGAATTTCACTTGTATCGAGACCCAATTTCTGCAACGCAAGGATGGAAGCACGTAGAAATTTACTTAGTACTTAAATAGAATTGCTCAATGTTATGACTTAGGTACCTGAAGCATGTCATACCTCAGCATTGCGGTGATTGTATCCATCCTCTACAAAATATAGCATGTACCGCATGACGTAGAATCCACAGAGGTCGATGGCCTCTGGTTGACGAAGGATATATTTATGTTCGAAGATCCGAAATTCAGTTGCATCAATCTTGCATCTCCCATACGATCTTCCGGACCTACAGTACTTCTTATATGCCCTATTTAGTGCACTGAAAATAGTTTGGTACTTGTCTATCCCTCTCCTCAGGCTATCATATATGCAAATTGAACTATCGTCGATGTTGATTACGAGGAGGATCCAATGATGGCTACACATAGTGACAATTTATCAATAACTTGATATGGGTCGAGGGGCAAACATAACTGGAAATCGATGATAGTGACTTACTGAGAAAGGTAAGGAAATAAAATGTGGTCACATCCATTAAGTTTGGCGAGGGCATCAAAGAGATAGCGGTCAATTTCAGCTTCGGATGTGCATTGCTTGTCAAAGTTTACAACGGCTGGGTCTAGAAAAGCTATCTTATGGTTCATGGATCTAACCTGATAAGAGCAATGCCCGCAAAAGGAGAACACAGTTGAGAATTACTGAGTACGTAGAATGCTATGGATTAAGAACGACAAGATATCAAAGGACTCAAAATGACCACAATTGCAGGAGGCAGATATCGAATTCCCTTCTTTGGTACAACTGGAAGAGTTCCTTAAATTCTACAAAGCATGTATTACTGGGGTGGTGAAAATCCACATCAGTGTAGTAGGCACCGAACATCCCGACCCCCTTTTTTGGCCTCCTCCAAATACCATTCATGCAGCCAATGCGCTTGAGTTCCTAAGGATTCAATTTCCGTGTCAAGCACCATCGGTTGACCAAGTTGGAATCGCAGTACAATCGGGGCCTCTTCAAGTTCATCTAGATTGTCTAGGCTTTTCAAACCAGCTGACTTGCAGAAATCAACTTCCTTGGACGCTTTCTCTTCAAGGTACAACTCCCTACTGAGCTTGCATATCTTTTTTGCCAAGAATTCTCCAGAAGTCCGATATAGGCTTCTTAGGTGACTTCGGTGGTGCGCACTTGATGAAATGCTCGATGACATTCGGAGGAATTGGAATCTTTGGTTCCTCGAGCTTCTTAGGACCAAAAAGTGAAGTGATGCTGGCATTGATTGTCTTCTTAGGCAGCGATGTTGTTGGCTTTGACACTAAGTATGAATTGGAATGTGTGAGTCACTATTTGCTTGATGGAACAGACATCTGTGATGCACTTGGTGTTCGGGTCTTTTTTCTGAGTGGGGGTGGACTTGTGGACTTCTCCGGACGATGTGGTTCATTAGGTGTGTTTTCACGAGGTGGACTGAAGGTCCTCTGTCGAGGCGGAGAAGGAGCTAGATTTGCACCTCGTCCGTTTGAAGGGCTGGAAGCACCGTCGCCTGGATCCCCTGCCCCATCGTTCAACGTGATAACGATGTAGCGTTTGGGCCATATGATCAGGTTGTGAAGAGCAGCGCCCAGAGTGTCAACCCCTTCCTCCGGAGGAAACTGTAGCACATAACCTCTGTATTGGCTTGGCACGTCTTCCACTTCAACCCTTGAGTGGCCTACAGGCAATGGAACACCATGTATTGTTTGCCCTGCACATATTGGATGTGCCACACCGCGTGCAATCTCCTGAGTAATGTTGCTTTGAAGAGGGACATGGAGCACGCACGGCATATGTGTTGTTATGTCGTCCACAACATAACGTGATGTGTCCTGTTCTGGAGGGGGGTTATCCGCGGACGCGCAAGTGCTCCGTTTGGCACCTGGGTTAACCACTTGGTCACCAGCTTGCCCCTGTTGTCTTGGTAACCCATTGGGAAACAGCACTGCAAGTTGTTCCTTTACCTGACGGGCCACCTCTAATCTCATACGTTTGGCCTCCTCTTCTCTCATGGGTCTTCTTGGATGGGCCCGATACATGTGTGCATCATCTGGGAACCCTTCCTTTCATGGAACGGAACCAACGCCTCTCGTGCGTCCAGGGTGCTCTTTCATCCCCAGTGCCAATGTGAACTCATCTTTTTCTCTTACTGGCACATATTTACCCTGTCTCGCCAAGGAAACAGCCTCGGTGATCTTTTCTTTCAGCTCTTGCTATCGAGGTCCCAGTGCAACCAACTCCCCTGAATCCGATAGTTGAGCCTTCCTGGCGTACGCGTAGTGCTTTGTCCGGGTCCCCCATCCATCTATCTCAACAACTATACCTGCTTGGCACAGTTGTTCCTCCTTCTCTTCCCATTTGGGGATATTCTTAGCATATCTGCTCGGCCCAAGTCGGTGAGGAAGCTTGTTCAACGCGGAGTTGGCCTTGTTTAGGGTGCTCACTTCTCTTGCCTCTTGAGATGTTTTCCAGTTCACAAACTCATCCCATTAATCTGTCAACTTCTGATACCTGGGTTTCTCAAAATCCAGGGTCCGGTTGCGTTGGACCAACTTCGCGTTCAAGTCAGTCCTCCACTTTCTGAATAATGTGCTCATCTTCGATAAGGCTCCCTTCTTTGCTAGCTCTTCTTGGCCTTTTGGAAAGGTGAATGTCAGCTTCAACTTTCGCCAACATTCTTCCTTCAGGTTATGTGGCACCGTCCAGTCGAGTTGTGTTACATCATTTGTTTTCCAATGTCTATACTTGATGGGAATGAAATCCTTGACGATACATCCACACGCCCTACCATAGGGAGTTACTGCCGTCGATGGTTCGTGTGGCCACCCAGTTTCAGTGAGCACTGTCACAACGTAGTGACCATCCGGCATCGAGCTAGGACCCCTAGGCTACCTCCCATATGAGACGGTTGAATCCTGGCCCGAACCACCAGTGGAAGTGCCAACCTCCTTGGAAATTGCAAATTCGATTAGTTCGAATGGTCCATTAGAGTTGGAATTTGCTAATGCACTATTGCGTGAAATATACGTCGAAATTACCTCGCTGCCTTCGGAATGCTCTTGATTTAAGTTTAAGAATGCGCTAGGGCTGGCATTATGTTCACCCTCAGATCCGGAGCTAGCGAATTCTTCGTGTTCCATCTAGTCATCATCGAGCATAATAACATTACTAATGTTGAAAAATAACATGGTCTAAAGGTGTAAGATATTTTGTGCTCTCGGAACTGCTACAAGCACAAAACAGGAATATATTTGCTCTCAGATGGCGGGTTGCCAACTTAATGGCCTCCTCGCCAAAATATGGCAGGCTGCCAATTGCACGGCCTCCATGCCATGGTGTACTAGGTCGTCATCGATTATGTGTGGCAGTATAAACAGAGACGAGAATAAAGGGCAATTCAAAAATAGTGAACAAAAGAGAATAAGGGAGAGAGCGTGTGGATAAGAGAGATAGAGGGTGAAGTGGGTAAGTGGTTGGCCGGGTAATTAAATAGTAGGAGATAGGTGCCGGTTTTATACCCTAATCCGGCACAATTCACAAATCACACAAATAAATGAAATACTGCCACACATAATCTCCCATCATATGAATTTCATCATCGAGCAGCAAGTTATATTCACATGGGGAGTTTGGAAAGATTGGGTAAATGTTCAGATGTGCATTCCAAGATATACTTTTCCTTTACCAAACAAGAAATGAGGATGATGGATCATGGAAACAGAACCTAAGGGCATGAACATATTAATACTAGTAATATAACCTAAGTAAGCAAGTAAGCAACCTAAGTAAGCAACATTTTAAATCAGCAGCAGCATAAAAAAAAGCTATTAGCAATCCAGGGAGCATGCTCATATAAGTATTGGCTCACACGAAAAACTGTACTCTTATCATAATACCATAGATCTGATCAACTGTATGAGATCATACAAAATACTGGTAATATGTAAGACGGATGCTCTCCTAGTGTCCTGACAAAAAATTGCAGGCCAGCATTGTTACAGAACAAAGTGGCCTTAACTTTAGTGAGTTTATGATTAAAATTTAGACAATTCTGATCAACTAGGCAAAATTTTAAATTTGAAACAATAGGAAAATAAGTGTACTCTCCATCTCCATCCCAAAATATAGTAACAGATTAGACACTGCCTATTACTACATTACAATAGCGTGTCGATTCAGTAAATAGGCAACTGCATCAAAAATCACCCTGGGAAACCATGCTAGGCCATGCACAGTGAGAAACGACTGTCCTAAAATATTAATATTTAGCATAATCGACAGATGTAGTATTGTATCCAGGTATTAGTATTTAGCATAATCGACAGTGGAAGTATTGTATCTAGATAATATCCAGGTGCACCCCCATAATCGACAGAGGTAGTACTTAGCATATTCATGTCTCAGACCCATAATCGACAGAGGTAGTACGTAGCATATTCATGTCTCAGATCACACACATGAGCAAATTTTGCTAAGGGGAGGAGGGAAGAAGAAGAGGATGGATGGGGGGAGAGGGGTGTACCTCTGCGTCGGGCCGTCGTTGCCGCCTCCACCTTCGCCTTGCCGCTGCCCCTCTTCACCTCGCCGTCGCACCGTGCCGCTGCAATCGAAATCAGAATCAAAATTCTTGTCTTCCTCCCCTCCCTTTCCTTGCATCCCCTCCGACAACAGCAGCAAGAATCCTCCTCACCGAGGAAGGAGGGCGTGGAGGCGGAGGTCGAGGAGGCTTGGAAGGAGGAGGAGGATGGGCTTAACGCAGCCGCCGCTCACCTCCTCCTCGCCACCGCACGCTGTCGAGCCGTCCTCACCGCTGCGTCAAGCCGCCGCACCGCCGCGCGCCGTCGAGCCCTCCTCGCCGCTCGCCTCCTCCTCGCCACCGCACCGCAGCCGACGACGACCTGGAGGGCGCCGCGCCGAGAGAAGGGATAAGGGAGAAGGGATGAGAGAGAGAGTGAGGGATATTTAAGTAAAGGAGATGGTACCGGTTCTAACACAAATAGGTGCCGGTTCTATCATTAAATTCGGCACATTTGACTATTGGAACAATTTTTTTTCTTAAAAAAATTACGGGCAAAAACATCATTCAATTTTTTTTATAATAAGTAGAGATAAGCGTGTTATATAAATGTAACTTTATACAGTATTAATTATAAATTACAATTTCTTTCTTAAATTTAAGTTTCACTATAAAATAGGCCTATTACTTAATATGTTCAAAAAAGAGTATAAAGGGCAAAAAAAAAGAAATTAAATATTAGACCGCACAAAATATGTTCCAAGTTTTTGCTGATTTAAATCAAATGGTTGCCATACAAATCCGTAGAATGAAGTTAGAAATTAATTCAAACCCTAACTACTATCCCTTCCGCATGATCGGACCGTACATACAACGCTTGGTCATTCTCTTCAGCAGTTGCCTCGTTTTCCGTCTCGATATCAATTGTGGGTAGCGGTGGCTCATCGGGCTGATCGTAGTCATCTTCGTCAATGATATTCTCCATTCCGACAATACTTCGCTTGCCTTCTAATACAACATGACATGGCCTCATGAGTGATGGGTCCTTAATATAGAATATTTACTTAACGGACTTTGCAAGCACGAATGGTTCATCTTCGTAGCCAACATCATTGAGGTCAACGATGATCGTTCCATGCTTGTCAATCTTCAAACCCCTTGGAATTTTGACCCATTTGCATTGGAATAGAGGGACTTTGAGGGCTCCGTAATCTAACTCCTAGATTGACTCTATGAAACCGTAATAAGTCTGCTTATTGCCGCCTCATCGTAGGCATCGATGCGCACAGCACTGTTTTGATTTGTACTCTTGTTGTCCTGAGTCTTGGTGTAAAAGGTATACCCGTTCATATCATAGCCCTGGTACATGTGGATTGTGTTGGATGGCCCCCGAGATAATGAAAAAAGGGCACCATCGATGTCTGCAGTTGTCAGGTACTCCATCAACCATTTCCCGAATTGAAGTTTATGCATCTTCGCAAGCCATGCTGCTCCTTTCCTGGGATTGTCTCTGCGGAGTACATCCAAGTGCATGTGCACGTACGGAGACACCAAAGCTGACTGTCGTAACACTGCAAAATGGGCGTGTCTTATGGTTTGTCGATCAGGGGTGAAAATTCTCCTGTGACCTAATGTTCCCTTTCCAAGCATCCTACCCTCATGACGAGGCACAGGAACACCGATAGGTTGTAGATCCATGTAATCTATACAGAATTCGACCACCTCCTCTATTGCATAACTGTCACACCCAGAAATTCTCGAACCAGAATTTCTAAGCTGAATGTGCATTAAATCCCTGTCCAGGACCAGCCAGGGTACACAAATGACAATTGTTGACATACAGACCCACGTCTTACAAAAATATAAAAGATTACAAATGCAGCGGGAAAGATTAAAGCGAGCTAAACCGGGAAGCTTGACTTCAGCAGCGGGCGACGCCACTCCACAGGCAAACCTTGACGGCAGCGACGAAACCAACCTCTCTGAGACGGCTCTAACTAAGAAGAACTTCAACTCTGGTGTGGGGGAAAAGAGAGCAAGACTGAGTACTACCCACTGTACTCAGCAAGTCATACCGGAAGAGGAGGTATGATGCAGGATATAACCAAAGGAAGCTAGGGGTTCTTTTGCATAAAGCAGGCATTTCAAAGCAGTAGTTGAAAGCAGTAAAACAGCTGTAGTAATTAATCAATATTAACCAATCACTGTCCAACGCTACACCACGTTGCAACAGGCCCAACCAACCACCTGAACTACACCAGTTCATTAAGCTAAACTAGGGGTGAGACTAATCACGGTGAATCTGGTTGATCGCCCATAACCGCGGGCACGGCTATTCGAATAGTTTTACTCTGGCCAGAGGTGTACAACTGTACCCACAAGACACGATTCCACACATGTCGCCATGCCCCGAAGTATCACCATGATACTGCAAAGGGTGAAATCGTGACAAGACCCTCCACATAACCCTCCCCTAACCATCCACACCACGCTAAGGTTTCACCCCCACCCCTCAAAAGGCAGTGGGCGGTCCCCTCTTGCGCCGCAGTGAATCCGGCAGCTGGACAACCGGACACCCCGGCCGACCCAACTCCATCACGCCCACCCTCGCCACCGGTGCCTAGGAAAGGGTCGAGCTATACTTCAGATCAAGCAGTTACCCACTCCCGCTTGTGGTAAGCACGGTAAGTCTCCCAGGGTTTCCCATGAACCGGTCCTTAACTGCCATGGGTGCGACCAGCAAAACCATGCACTCACAGCCCGCCATTCAGAATATTTTAATTAACTGACACCCTTGCGGTGGCACCAATCTAAAGCTATGCCAATAGACAAAGTCTATGTAATAATGTGATCCCTTTTTGTGTACTAGTTGAGCTAAGCATGGCTAAGCATTTCCTAAACCAACATCTAATCATTTTGATACCCAGGTTATCAATGGCATATGGTAAACAATAAATGGCTGAGTAATAGGACCCATCCCACATGACATTGTAAAAGAATGCAACATTTAATAGAAATGCAGGGTGTTTGTAAATTGGGTACAATATGATCAAATGTAAAGCATGACTTGCCTTGCTCTCGAACTGATGAGACCTCAGCAACGTCTTCGAGAAACCGCGGATCGACGAAACGGCCGAAACCCACGCGACAAACAAAGCACACAAGCAAAACATGCTATAAGACTACTGAAACAGGAAACAAAACCATTTTTAATGGATTCTTTGCATTTTTCTTGATTTACTGAGACTTGAATGGACTTAAACGGAGCTCGGATGAATTACTTATGAATTTTAGAAGATAAACTGTGTTTTTACTAATAAAGAAAAAGTCCTTAATTAATTATTGCGCAATAATACCCAGGGCTGACGTCATCCAAGGGGGGCGCCGACAGGTGGGGCCCATGGGTCAGCGGCTCAAAGGGGAGAGGAAGGGGGCGCCGGCATGTGGGCCCCACGGGCAGTGGCTCAAGGTGGCCGGTCTACCGTAGACCGGGACCACGCGGGTGGTCCACCGCCGGTCCACGGGACCGACGGTCCGGATCGGCCGGGAGGCCGATCGGACGGCACGGCAGCGGCTAGGCACGGCTTCAAAACCGACCGGCCGGCCATGGCAACCGGCTGTGACGCGCACGGTCGCCGGCGACGGCAATCGGCGGCGCGGGAAGCAACGGCGGACGGGGTACAGGACGGCGGCGTCGACCGAAGGTGACGGCGAGCGCGTGGAGAGAGGCGGCGCAAACGAGAGAGAGGGGAAGAGGGAGGAGGGGAGGATCCTCACCGGCGAGTATGGCGGCCGGGGCGGAGGATGAAGGTGGCGGCGACGACCTGGCGATGAGGAGGGGCGGACGGGTGGCGGCGGCACCTACGGAGGGTGTTGAGAAGGATTAGGAGTAGAGAGAGTGACCACGGCGGCCACCATTGTTGGCCGGAGACGAAGGAGAATGGATAGCTCACCGGCGTGCGAGGAGAACCGGGCTCCGGTGGGGTTTAGCGGAAATCGAGCGGCGGCCGAGGTGGCTCACGCGGCGGCAATGCTAATGGCGGCGGCGGCTTGGCGCGGCGGCGGCTCTAGCGGCTGCGGCGCGCGACCGGAGGTGGCGGCAAGCGGCGGCGCTAGTGGCGAGCGGCGCGCGACCGGTAGGAGGCACGGGAAAGCGCGGCGAAAAGGGGAAAAGGGAGAGGGAGATGCGGGAAAGCTTTATAGGGGCTCGAGAGGGGCGGACATGGCCGGGAAACCCCCCGATTTGGCCAGCGACGTGGGGGAAGAGAGAGAAAGTGGGGGGGATTCAAATCGAATCCCGCCCATTTGCGGGCGCGCGTGCGGGCGGGAATGGCGGGGAGGGCGGCGACGTGGGGACGCGGAGTGGGGGTGCGGCGTGGAGCGGAGAAGGCGGCGGCGCGGACGGTTTCGGCGGCGGTTGCCGTCGTGGGGCGGGCGGCTGGAGGAAGGGGACGACCTGACAGGTGGGCCCCACCTGTCAGCGTCCCGGAGAGAGGGGAAAGGGGAACGGGCCGGCCCAAAGGAAGGAGGCCGAGCGCGTGGAGAGAGTGAGCCGACGGCCCAATAGAGAAAAAAGAAGGAAAAGAAAAAGAAAAAGAAGAAAGGATTTTTCCTGGGATTTAAAATTGCATTTTGGTGATTTTTAATTGGTTAAAATTATTTCCAAGGCTCTGAAAATTCCACTAAAAATCTTGTTAATGCATTGGAGCATGGGGTACTCAAGAAAAATTCCACACGCTATTTCCGATTATTAATTGCATTTATTAACTAGGGATTTAGCTCTAGGTTAATTAAGATAATTTCTTCGGGCAATTTATTTAACCAATTTTTAAAGCAAGAAAAAGGGGAAACTTCAGGGTGTGACAATAACCCTCGACGATGCTGCCTTCGGGTCTTGATCTATTCCTGACATATTTCTTTATGATGCCCATAAACCTCTCGAAAGCCCACATGCTATGCAGATATGCTGGACCTAAGATCTTTACTTGTTCCACAAGATGAACAATCAGATGCACCATGATATCGAAGAAAGAAAGAGGGAACAACATCTCCAGCTGGCAAAAGTTGAGAATCGCGTCCTCCTGAAGCTTGCCCAATGAAGCCGGATCGATAACCTTTTGGTTTATCGCATTGAAGAACTGGCACAACTTGATGATTGGGTCTTGGACCTTTTCTAGAAGGATACCCTAATTGCGACCGGTAGCAGTTGCGTCATAAGAACATGGCAGTCATGTGACTTCATTCCAACCAACCTCTTATCTTTCATGCTAACCAGTCTCTTAATGTTCGCACAGTAACCGGATGGGACTTTGACACCCCACATGCATTCCAACATACTCGTTTTTTCTGCAGCACTAAGAGTGTAGCATGCCGGAGATAGGTAATAGCGGTCAT